AAGGTTCTGTTGGTTCTTGCTTGAAGGCTAATATTTCATCTCGAAGTGCCACCATATGACTAGGAGAGAAGAATTTGGCAATAAACTTATCTGCCAACTCATCCCAAGTTGTGATGGAATGGTTGGGGAGTCTCTCGAGCTAATCCAATGCCTTTCCCCGAAGTGAGAACGGGAAAAGTCTCAATCTCAATGCATCCTCGGACACATTCGTCTGTTTGCTCCCCCAGCATTTATCTATGAACTCCTTGAGATGTTTGTAGGCATTTTGATTTGCAGTTCCCGTGAAGTACCCACGTTGCTCAAGTAAGGTCAACATCACATTGGTTATCTGAAAGTTTCCCACCCGGATTCGGGGCAGAACAATAGCACTTGCGTAGCCCTGGTTCGGTAATACTCTGGGAGCCACTCTTGGAGGTGGAGGAGGAGGGTATGGAATATTATCATTTGGATTAGCATTTGCGTTGGCATTTCGGCCTCTCTGTTGTCCTTGAGGTGCAAGAGTCACCTCATCTTGCTCAAGATCTTCTACCTCCTCCCCCGCTATCACGTTTCTAAGAGGGTCATTTGCGTTGTTTAAAGCCATGTTGGTACCTGAGTAATATCACAAACAAGTAAGTAAAAAAGAAGGAAAGAAGAACAAAACTCAAAACTAACTAAATTGATAGCCAACACCGTTAGCTCCCCGGCAACGGCGCCGAAAAGTGATCGCTTCAAACTCCACACTACTAAAAGTAGAAGAGATGGTCGCAATAGCTTTTACCCGATATGAAGGTCAGGATCGATTTTCACAGGGAGATAGGAATGGAGTTGAGTATCTATCTAGACTAGAAATATGTATTTGTTTCAAATGTCACTTCCATACATTTTTGGGTTTTTAGATTACAAACTACTATTACCAAGTTATTAATTGAAACTAGATTATGCTACGAGATAATTGTTAAGTTGTATCTAATGAGAAGAAGGGCACTAGGGTCATGACATTACCTAGGTGGCTAATTGACAGGTAGAAGTTATTAAAGTTCGATTCACATAATTGGGGCTTATGCTATAACCGTTGCACAATTTTACCCACTCTCACACCTCTCGGTAGAGAGAGTAATTTTTCCTAATTGACTCTCTCGAGACCAAATGGGTAGGCAAATTAGATCAAGCAACTAGGGTTCAAGTAGGGTGATTACTCTCTCGAGGTTTAACCCGTTAACT